TTACTTTTATTATATGTGTCTATGTCATTGTTGTATTTTCCCCTCCCTGATTTTATGTGAGCCGCCCTGAGTCCCCTCAGGACTCAGGAAAAAATTCTCTTTTCTTAGGGTCCTAGAGAAAGGAGAACTGCTCATATCTCCCCCCAGGCTCAGAAGATCCAACTTCAACGCCCTTAAAAAAAGTAGTGAGCAGACTCCCAAGGAATGCCAGAACTGTAGAGGCCTGGATGGGATGCAAGAGGCTTTGGCTCACCCAGGCAACACTGAGGCACCGGAAACCTTCCATCTTTGGTTCAGGATGGGGTGGCACACAATTTGGGGATCCACCTGGACCCAGCTTTGGCTAGAAGGGCTTTGTGTGCAATTTCCAGTTGTGCATCAGATGTGCCTGTTCCTGGCCTGGAGAGTGGGGAGAGTCTGCTCATGCCTTAGACCCCTCCCACTAGGATTACTCTACGTGGGCTGCTCTTGAGGAATATATGGAACTTCAGGTCCTGCTCCATAAACTACTTTGGCTCCTGGTGTGCTTCTGGGTACAATTCAAGATTCTGGTTGTCAACTTTAAAGCTTTTTCATGGCTTAGGTCTGGATGGTCTTTTTTCTACTGCTTCTATCCATCCTGTCTGCTCTAGTAGGAGAGGCATATCTTGGGCATCATCAGTAAAAGAGTGTCAGCTGGCAGGGCCCAGAAGGAGGCTCTCTTCTGCCATGACCACTGCGCTTTAAAACATCATCCCATTGTCTCAAGTGGTCTAGTGTCTCTTGCTTGATCAGGGGGTTCGACTAGAAGAGCTCCAAGGTCCCTTCTAGGTCTGTTATTCTGACACCAGACTAGATCTGACCCTGCTGGTCCTTTAAAATATCATTGAAATGTAGTTTTGTGCAAAGATGTGGGTATCTGGGTGTATGAAAGAGCCCACTTCTTGGCTTTGTTGATGGTCATGTTCAAGATGCTTGACTGCCACATGTTTTTATTTTTCTAGTACACATTTTATCTATTTTACTCTAAGCCACCTAAAGACACATATGTGATATTAACAGCTTAACAGAGTTGGAAGGGACTTTGTAGGTCATCTAGTCCAACACCACCACCCCCAAGCAGGAGACCCTATATCATTTCAGACAGAGGGCAGTCCGGTCTTTTCTTGAAAGCTTCCAGGGATGAAGCTCCCACAAACCTCTGAAGGCAACTTCTGTTCCTTGGGTTGATTGTTCTCACTGTCAGAAAATTTCTCCTTATTTCTAGGTTGAATCTCTCCTTGATCAGTTTCTATCCATTGTTCCTTGTCTGGCCTTCAGATGCTTTGGAGAATAGCTTGACCCCCTCCTCTTTCTGGCAGCCCCTCAAATATTGGAAGACTGATCTCATGTCTCCCCTGGTCCTTCTCTTCACTAGACTAGCTATGCCCAGTTCCTGCAGCCGTTCATTGTATATTTTAGTTCCCTAATCAAATCAAATCAAATAAACACATGGAAAATTAACATAATTATCAATGAGAGTACATCAAAACTTAGTATATTGCAGGGCTATGTTTTAGGCCCTGTGTACTTCAACATATTTATAATAATGAGGGTTTAGAAAAACAAGATTATATTTGCAGATGTCACAAATAAAGGAACAACAAAAACAGTTTAAAAGATAGCTCAAAATTCAAGAGGATCTTGATAAAGTAGAACTGTGAATCATGTAACCCCTAATCCCTCTCTTAATTGGACTAGAAATACCTAGTTCAGTCAACCATTCATCATATAGTTAGGCTCCAGATCCCTTAACATCTTGAAGTATATTGTGCAAAGTTATGAGGAAGCAGATTTCAATTGGAGATAGGAGGAATATGTCAACTTGCAAAGCATCCCTGGCCTGCTCTTATCTAAGTGATAAGAGACATTCAGCAATGGAGCATAGTGTCTTGTTGGGAGAGGTGGAGTCCCTCTTGCTTCAATTCATTTTGGCAGATATTATTGAAGATGCTTTAGAAATGCTGTACTGGGGAGTGGTGGGAGCCCTAATCTCCAAGGTCCCTTTCATTGCATTCTGTGGCTCCATCTTTATATACTGTAGTCTTCATTTTTAATTGGACCACTTTACTTGGTCCCCTCCAATTCTTGCTTTGATGACATGTTGATTCTTCTTCTTGTGCCATATCCACCATCAGATGTTGGCAATCCTATTTTTGTCAACAGCCACATGAAAAAATCCTGCTGAGTTTCTTCAAACCAGACCCTTAGGTTTTGAAGCCATGATGTTCTTCTTCTGCCTGGACCTCCTTTGCCTTCAATCTTTCCCTGGAGGATTAAGTGAAGGATGAGGTATTTATCTGGGCGTCACATCACATGTCCAAAATATTCTAACTTTCACTTTTTAATGGTTTTGATGATCTTCTGAGGCAGCTTATCATCTCATTTGTGATTTTGTCAACCCAGCTTATACGTAATAGCCATCTGTAAATCCACATTTCAAATGCTTCTAGTTTCTTCAAGAGGTTTTCTGTCCGAGACTAACTTTCTACTCCGTAGAGCAGGATAAAATGGCAGTTGGACTTACCTGAACTGCATGTTTAGAAGAAAGGCGTGGGAGGAGTAACCAATGGGTATTAACCCAGCCCTCTTGCCTATAGGACACTGAGGTAATCTTTTGAAGCCACACCTACGGCTCTCCTCTGACTTCCCCAGATTAACCAATGGATCGTAGCAGAATCTGAAAGGAAGGACAAACAAGAACAGCCAACACATATCCTTCCTAACCGT